TGCTAGAAACAGAGACCCCAAATAACAACATTATAAATGGGAGAAGAACAGATTTCTGCCTTGTATAAATTTCCTGCAGTAGGCAGTTCCGGGCTGGTGGGGCAATCCAGCAGCATCGCATTTCTTTGTGCTGCTCTGCTAAGTGTGGCTTCTGTTCCCGTAGTCCCAGAGAGCAGAGAACATGGGACCAACCAACCAGGGGGCAAGAGGGTGGGGCAGATGGATAAGCTGCCCTCTCCATAGGGATGCTCCGAATTCATACACACTTCTTCACCTCTGTCCTATAGCCAAGAAATTAGTCATCCAGTCACACCCAGCTTCAGGGTAAGCTGGGAAATGTAACCTTTGTTTTGGGTAGACATGCGTCCGTTAAAAATTGTTCTAATACTAAGGGATAGAATGGATACTGGGAGACTTACAGTGGATAATGGACTTACAATGGACAATGGATATTGGGAGTTGGGAATTATTCCCGACTCCCAGCACACAGTGGGGTGTACTGTATACTGACCGAATGAAGAAATGAGCTGAGCATTTATGTATTCATTTACTAGGGCTACCATTACAAACTGAGGGGCTTAAACAACAGAAATTTATTGTCTCACATTTCTAGAGGAAGTGCAAGGTGGACATGCCAGCAGTGTTGGTTCCTTCTGAGTGCTGGGAGGGAAAAGTATCTTCCATTCCTCTCTCCTAGCTTCTGGTGGTATGCTGACAATCTTTGGCCTCCCTTGTTTTGTAGCCCTCCACCTTCGTCTTTGCATGGTGTTTTCCCTGTGTGCGTGTCTCTGTGTCCTAAATTCCCCTCTTGATGAAGGATAGCATTATATCGGATTAAGGCCCATCCTAATGATCTCATCCTAAATAATTACATCTGTAAGGACCCTATATCCATAGAGGGTCACATTCTGAGGTACTAGTAATTCAAAATTGACAGGAGCTGTGAGTTTTGGGGGGACACCATTCAACACAATAAATGTGTAGGGTTTGTGGATTTTGAGGGAATCACAATTCAACACATAATAACTTGGGATAATTGCACCTACCCTTGCACAGTCTTTCAGAGGTACTTGGTTGGCATTTTGCTGCTCTGGGATGCCCCAGAGTGATACACCTCTTAGTTCCAGAGCAATGTGGCGTAGGTGAACCAGTCCCACTCCCCCAGCCCAGGAGGAGACGTGGGCTCCGTGGAGGCATGGCAGGGCTTACCAAAGACCTACAATGGTACTGAGAGTTATCGGCCATTGGGAAGCTCCTTCATGGTATGACAGCATCCTAGGAGCACTCCAGAAAAGTCAGTAGGGCCCATGCATTCTGAGCACTTTGTAGTAAGTAGAAAGTGGCCACCCTTGGCACCATCCCATGGCCCAGAGATCACACTTAGCACTTGGCACAGACCAGAAACAGCGGGGCCTGGTGTAGAGTCTTGAAGCCAGGCAGTTAGCTCAGTACTCCCTCAGGTCTGTCCTTGCTCCTTGCACCTTTTGGGATAAAAAGAATCCCTCCCTGGACTATAAGCTCCTCTGAGGTTGAAGGTAGTATTCTATTTATTTGTGCCATCCCTGTAGCTCCCGTTGCTTAAAGTGGCTCTTGAGTAGAAACTCAATGACTTTTTCAAAGGGAAGAGAAAGATAATTATCATCTTGTCAGGAGGGTTGAGATGTAATCATGCCCCAAAACAGAAGAGTGGGTAACTATGAAAGGTTTCCTGTAGTTTATTTTGGAAGAAGGTCCTGGGACCCTAGGAAGGTAACAGTTCTGTTGGCTCTTGGCTCCAAATGTCAGTGGTCTTTGAAAGGCGTAGCTTCGGGAAACCCAGAGTTGCCAAATCATGACCCTGACCAAAACAATGGTTAAGAAACGGCTCATCTGGGGCACCTGGGTGGCTCAGTGGGTTAAGCCGCTGCCTTCGGCTCAGGTCATGATCTCAGGGTCCTAGGATCGAGTCCCGCATCGGGCTCTCTGCTCGGCGGGGAGCCTGCTTCCCTCTCTCTCTCTCTCTCTCTGCCTGCCTCTCTGTCTACTTGTGATCTCTCTCTGTCAAATCAATAAATAAAATCTTTAAAAAAAAAAAAAAAAGAAAGAAACGGCTCATCTGATTAGTGTGACAGGTGCTTAGTACTGCTTGGTGGACCTGGGAGCTGCCCTTCACCCATGCATCCCACATAATGTGAACCAAAGCTCCAGGTCATGCTCATTGATCCCCAGTAACTGAGGGAGCAACCCTCCTAACCAGTCAAATATTCTTGTTTTAAACACTCTCCCATCGATCTGGATCCATTTTCTCAACCCACATTCTGAGCCATGCTGGGTGTTCCCTTCCCCCCATTCCTGCACTGCCCACTCACGTTTACCTCCAAAGTAGGGAGTCTGCCGGAGCTGCCGCCCACCCACTGCAGGAAGTTGGCCTAATCGTTAACGTTTCACTTAGAACATTCCTGTGGCTTCTGGAATATGAATTTGGGCCTGGATCCACTTCCCTAATGTTGCCTCTTTGAAAGATTGCATCAGACACATGTGGGGCAAATAGCATGCAGTTATTTCTTTCTGCCCCAAGTCTTAGGCCCTTGGATTTAGATGACCCAGACCCCAAGCCTGTACAGGGAGGCTGCTGGGTGGCACAGGCCTACATCAATGCTTCACCAAACCTGGCACCTGGACTCCGAAGGAGCTCATGATTTGGAAACTCAGAAAGGGAAGCCATATCAGGCTTGGGGGAAAGGGGCCATGCAGTGGCATTTCTTAGCCATCCTGTAAGGGGCTGCTGTAGGCATAGAGTCAATGGTAGCACACTTAGCAGCATCTTTTGCCGCAGCGACCATTCTAATGTGAAAGTACTGCGGTTATTATGGCCAAACTGAGGGTGGAGAGTGTCGCAGTGACTGTTCCTATCGGGTTCCCCTGGATTTCTATGCTTTGGCTTTTATGGCAGCTCAGATTTCTCCGGTGGGAGTGTACAGGTCAGTCCACACAGAAAGCCTCACCCCCATAGTGATCTCTGTCCCACGTAGGCATCAGTTTCAAAGTATTACTGTTTTCATCTCTCTGCCATGAGCTATAGAATTATGAGGCGTATCCATCCCTTGATTTTCTGACTTGCACTTGATTGTTAATAACAGACTCCATTCACGGAGGAGTAATTGAGAATGGCAGCCCCAATGACACGGCTTTGCCACCCACGGGAGGGAACAAGGGAAAGCCTGGTTCTGAACTCCCTCGGTGGGTCTGCAGCTGGGCACCTGTTCACTGTATCTGATGGGCTCATCTGCAGCCCAGCCTTACCTACGAGGAAGGTCTCACAGGACATGGTTCTCTGTTCTAGCCTTATTATATATTTTATCTTTCTTTCCTTTGCTCATTTTTCACGTTCGTTTATCTATACGGTAGGTGTAATTTTTTTTTCATATCTCAAGAGCGTTCAAATCCATTGTAGAAAAATTAGAAAATGCAGGTAAGAGGAATAGTTCTTACTATTCTTATGATAAAAGAAGTTCTTTTTAAACAACATCCTGCCACCTGGGGAAAACAGTAAACAAACATTCCATTCCCCCATGTTTTGGGGCACATTTTTTTTTTAAGTTTGCATTTGCACTTAACAGTATTTGGGAGTAGCTTTATGTCTGTAACAATTCATCACTAGACAGCTGGGTGGAAGAATCACGATGTATTTACCCAGACACACATTATCGGTGATTTAGTTGATTTCCAAATACTTGCATCCATCCTCGATTGTTTTCTTCAGATGAACTCCTAAATGTGGACTTGCTGGGTCAGAATAATAAACATACATCCTCTCTTTGTACTGTCAAAACTTTAGACGTGTAACCACACAAACACAATCCTCCAGCAAGCCCCCGCGTACCCATCCAACAATTGTGGCTCCTGGTCAGTGTGTCCTCCCACCCACTTCCCCTAGTCCCTGCACTATTTGAGAACAGATCCCAGACATCATGCAGAATGACTTATTTCTATCAAATAGTACAGGTATTTTAAAATGGGAGAGAAAGAATAAACTGCCAAAAAAAAATAATAATAATAAGAGGTTAACGTCTTGTGCACATGATCCACTGTGATGTTTGGGCCCTTTCCATTTTCCCTGCTGTATGTGGGCTCTGGACTTATTTGTCTCTTGATTCCTGAAGCAGTCTGGTAACCAGCCTCCTTTCTCTCCCTCTGGATAGGCCAGATAGGCCATTTACAAGCCATTTCATATCTTACCAAATTGCCCTCCACATAAGCTAAGCAAATTTGTGCTTGCACCAGAATCCTAGAGGAGTGTCCATGCTGGTGGTTAAGATTTGGGGGTTTTCTTCTTTCTTTTCTTTTCCCCCCTTTTCCTTCCCCCTTATTCCTTTTTCTTTCTTTGTGAATTTTTTAGACCCAGAAACAAGAATCATACCCTTATTTTAGTGAAAATTTATTTGGTTATTAATGAGGTTAAAGCCCCCCCCATTTCCTATATGAATAATTATATTTCCTCTTTGTGAATTGCCTTTTACTAATTTTTCTTTTAGAATGATTGTCTTTTAAAAATTGTGTTCATTCTATGTGAATATCATAGTGTTGTGCTTTTGTCAGCAAATCGCTATGAAGACTTGTTTGGACTAAGATAACACACACTATACTCCTACGAAAGAACACGTGAGTTCTAGGAAGTTAACAACTCAAAGCAGCAGTCGTTAACAGTCTGAAGGACAGGGAAAGAGTGAGCTATGCTAGTGTGGGACGGCGGGTCCAGGCAGGACCAAGGGGGGCTTTTACAGGTCACTTAAGCCTCAGTCTCAGACACCCACAAGGCAGGTAAAGCAGGTAAAGCAAGTATTATTCCCACTTGACAATGGCTTATGCTAGGGTACACCTTCATAACTTCCAAGCCCCAGTCTAGGGACTATTCTACCCTATCACAAGTGATCCGTATGTTTATTTGTGGAAGGTAAATAAAGCATTAAAATATAACAAATATTAGTAATCATAAAAAACTCTTTTTCTCCCCCATATAGCGTGAAGGCCCAGGACCGGGTCATTATGACTTGAAAATACCTCCAATAAATTCTATTACTTCCTGTTTTCAATCCAAAGTACCTCGATTCCTGCCCGCTTGTTCTGTAAGTACTCTAAAAGATGATGTTTGTAGGTTTTGTGATTGGGGTTGAGGAGGGCAGTGGGGGTTGGGTTAGAGTTCTAGACAATTCTAATATGTATATATAAATATATCTAATTGCTGGTTGAGGTGGGAAAGAACGTGGAGCTCAAAAATCTGGCAAGCCCCCCGGGCTGTTTTGGTCTCAGAGGGACTCCAGACACAAAGATGGGGGCCGAATTTGGGGTTCAGTTGACAATATCCAGCATAGAAATTAGCTATCAGTGTTGTGACCTGGTTGCTCTGTGAGAACATGTATCTAACGAACTGAGGCAAGCAGTGGGCGGTGGCTGACCCTGTCCACATACAGTTCTTTATGTATACGATTTTGGGGGGGCGTGTGTGTGGCTTCAGACCAGAAACATTATTATTGGACCAAAGGAGACCAATATGGCCTGAATGGTCATCCTGCCCCTAAGAACTCAGGAAAGACAGCAAAGGGGGTCAAGTCCCCAGTGAGACACAGGTACATGGCAGCAGCATTTGAGCCTCAGAGACCTAGAGAAACCCAAGAAAAATTGCGAAAGCACTACATGAAGCTTATGAACGGTGGCTAGTTTTCTTTAAAAAATATCCTGACAGTTTTAATTCCCATGGCCTTGTTGTTCCCCATCTGCACCCCAGCTGGAAAGTCCCCAGAACTCACTGGTATGTAGCCTTAACTGAAGGTGGTTGGGGAGACAGAAATACAAGTTCTGCCTATAAGAAAATGGGCCCATCCCCGTGGTTCAAGGAAGGGTGGGTGTCCCAGGCCAGTGCCATGAAGATCTCTCTCCAGAGCTACCAGCTCTGGTGTGGGGTTAGTGTGGTCTTTATCTGGAGGAATACTGGGGAGTCCCTGTTGGTAAAATTAAAAACAGACCCAACAGCAGGAAGTGGTGGGTCCCTTCTGTAGATCTTAGCACCCTAGTGGCATTAGCATGATCGAGACACAGACTTCCGTCCAAGCTCCCAAGGCTGAGCATCTTCAGGAAGCTGGAGTTACGCTAACCAAACTCCCAGGAAGCTGATAGAGAAGCCAGAAGGTGCGCTTTACAAGTAATTTACAAGTGTCCGGTAAGGCAAGCTGCGGTCTGGAGCCACTTGCTCTATGGGGTGTCTCCCCTTATAGGAAACTTCACTGAAGCCAAGGACAATCCGAAGTTTGCTCAGTGACAGTGAAATCAGGGCTGGGGGATAGAGCCGGGTGTTCTCAAGGTCTGAGAGCCACCACGAGTAGCCTCCTGGGGGGGGTAGCCTCCTGGGGGTTAGCCTTGTGAGACCGAGGCCCACAGACCTGCTGTTCTGTGGGCTGGTTTTCCAGGACTCCACCCGCATGTTGCTTCCTCATTAATAGCACTAATAAAGGCTTCGGCTTCCTTTGACGTCTGGCCAGGACTTGATTAGATTTCCAGGCTGCTCCTCCGCTTTCGGCAGAGGAGACATCCTGTCACTGACCGCAGCTTCTGCGGGCAACTGACTTCATCCGCTCTGGCCTGACCACCCTGTCCCACTTCCAGGGTAATCCTATTTCCACCTTCTCTCTCTCCTGGAGAGATAACACACTGCAAAGAAGGATGGAAATGACAAGCCCATGATAATAGGGAATACTAATAGTGCCGGGTAGCTAAGGTGCCGAGAGCTATCGCTGCCAAACTGGGGCTCTCCGCCCTGGAGGGCCTCCAGCAAGCCTCGTTACCTCCTGTCTTGGGTGAGGCTGAGGAAGCACAGGGCCCAGGGTCACACCCAGACATTGATGGTGAGACTGGGACTCTAACTCAAGCCTGTCTGCCGTCAAAACCTTCCCTGGGCCACACACACACAAACACCGATGCCTCACCAGTAGACCCAAGATAAAATCCCTTCGGGCTTCCAGAATCTGTACGTGTCCCCCAGCATGGGAAATGCTGACCCAAGAAATCGAAGTCTTTGCCTGAGTCTATGGAAATGACATCGGTTGCATTTGATCACTGTAGAAGAGAATCTTCATTGACATCATTGGCAAAATGACTTTTTCAAGAATTTCATCCAAAGGAAAACATGGCTTTTAGAAATGAGAACTTATAGATCCCTTGAGACTACTTTGGACCCTGGGGTCTGCAGACTTTGAGGTACAGAAACCCGAGTCTGGACTTTTTGAGGTCAATCACCCAGGTTCAGAATCCATTTTCTCCAGTACCTATCACGAGACTAGGTGCTTGGCGGGGTGGGGGATGACGATGGCCTTCCCAGGGACAGGAGCTGTCTGGGCAGAGCGCCCACTGAGAAAGTGTGCCTTGAGGGGCAGGTGGGATGTGAGCCCGCTGCCTAGCAGGCTCAGGCCAGTGTTTGCTTGTCTGCCCTTCTCTTGACACTTCTGGAGTCCTGGAGAAAGCCATGGATGGGAGCAGGCCTCTGTTCCAAGGAACGGCTCCAAGTCAAAGTGCCCCAGGCCACAGCGTAGTTGGGCGTGACCCTCATCTTCCCCAGTAAAAGGATTTGCCAGTGAGGGCTGAGCCCACAGCTGGCCTCAGGGGGCCCCTGAGTGTTGGAGACATGGTCTCATCAGTCCCTGTTTTCTGCTCTGTTTTCAGAAAACCCCCGGCCCGGGAGCATACACGTCTTCAGTGCAATTCCCCAAGCAGCCCCCCACCATAGCCAAAATGGGCCGAGAGAATAGCCTTTTCTTCAACAACACAATTGGCTTTTAAAATAAAACTATCTTGGCCCTCAGCTATTTTGAGTTTAGCAAGTGCTTCTGTTTAGAACACTCTGTTTTATGTTCTTTAGAAGGGTTTGACACAGAACATCATGGATTGCCCAGGTGACCCTCCTGCCCGCTTCTGTGGAATAGTTCCAGCATAATTTCCAGTTCACTCTCGAAAGTGTCCTGGCTTGAATAATAAAGTGCATTCACTCTGTTTGTTGTCCAAGGATACATTCCAAGACAGTGCTCCTGGGCTCCTCCTGCGGCAGCTTGGACAGACTCTGATGTGTCCGGGCTGTGCTCTGCGCGGCCATTAGGGCTATAAGACCTCACAACCTCACGGATGTGTCCTTGGGGGTCAGCATTCAACCAAGGCTATGCTGGGTGTGCCAAGATCCCAGCAGGTGGTTCTTTCTCTCTCTCAAGTCCCTGAAAAGAATAATATTGATTCAACCCAATGGGTGTTTGTGGTTTTAAGTCAACAAAAATATTTGAGTATCTGCTCTGCGCCAGGTGTGCTGGGGTTGGGACGCTTGAGGGTGGGTTGCTTCATAGAAAGATGAATAAGGCATGTGACTGAGTTTGAGAAGGGCTGTAGGGGAGACAATGCCAGAGAGGGAATTTGGGGTAGTGCCTGCCTCCAGGAAGGCTTTGAAAGCTGTGCCATGTGGCTCTTCCGGTCCCCTTGTGTCTAAGCTCAGGGACTGCCCTCACATGATGGCAGTTCTACTGGGAAGACAGTCACTCATCTCAGAAAGCCGTGAAGTCACTGGTTCTGGTGCACAGAGGAGGCCACAGGCAGGCAGAGCAAGGGTGAGGCCGCGCGGCCATGAGCGGTGAAGGACGGCTGCGTGCAAGGGACCTGGAGGCTGAGATGGGCAGAAAGGAGGGGCAAGAAGGTTGGGGGCAAAGACCCCTTGAGGGTGAAAGGCAGGGATAAACATTTGCTGGAGGGGGATTGAGGGAGCCTGACCCAACGAAAGTGGGAGGTGCCATGAGGGTGGAACGGAGTTGGGCGGGGCTTGGTCGGAAGCTGGGCCCCACGCAGCCCTGCGTGCTGGGAAGACCTGCTCAGGCAGCCTCTGCCAGACACACCCCCTAGCATGACAGCGAGTATCTGGTTGGAGAGATTCCAGAATCATTAATAAATGGAGGGCATCATTTTTTTTTAATTTAAAAAAAACTAACTTAAAAAAGAAACTAAAATAAATGCTTATATTTTGTGTGGGTTTTTTTTTTTTAAGATTTTATTTATTCATTTATTTGAGAGAAAGAGAGAGAGAGGGCAAGAGAGCACAAGCAGGGGGAGCGGAGCGGCAGAGGGTGAGGGAGAAGCAGACTCCCCACCAAGCAGAGAGCCCCACATGAGGCCTGATCCCAGAACCCTGGGATCATGACCCAAGCTGAAGGCAGATGCCCAACAGACTAAGCCACCCAGGCACCCCTATTTTGTTGTATTTTAAAAGGAGAACCACCCCCATCTCTCTTCCCTACCTCATAAGGCTTACAAAAAGGGGTATTGGAGACAAAAAAGAGAAGGTTGTCATCTCACTGAATTTATTCAAATTTCTCATTTGTTGAAGAAACTCCCTGTGTTGCGTTCTTTCAGAATAGAAAACAGGTACTTGTTAAGATCAGACGTGTCTCGGGGGTGGTGGCTGATCTTGTTTCACTTTGATCAGAAGATGACTGCAGGGCAGAGAGTTCCAAATTTTATTCTCCAAGTGGGTCAGAGTCCCCTGCGGGGTCAGAAAGTAACAGCGGGCATTTCTGACAGAGGGAGTTTTCTCTAGGAAACAGTGGCTCAGGTTGCCCCAGTGCTCAGGGAAGCAGTTGGTTCTAGAAATCGAGAGAGGTAAGAGGTGGTCTATGTCTGTGTGAGGGCTTGTAGATGGAAAATGAGAGGAACCTCTCATACCAGCAAGAGGTGTAAGCATAGGGGTACCTCTCCGACAAGAGTGGGAGCCAGGGGCTGGCAGGAACTACCTCTCTGCCTCTGTCTCCCCACTGCTTCTCTCTCAGGCCTGCTTCTCCCTCAGAAGGCCAACCTTCACTGCCTCTTCACATGTATAGGTTGTAATGTGGCTGCCTCAACCTCTCCTCACGTCATTTCCCAAGCCAACATCCTGAAAGAATGTCAGCAGCTCCTCTTGGTTCTAGGTTCTTGGGGGGAGATTTCAGTTGGCTAGCTTGGAACAGGGGTTGGCCCCCGGGCCCTTCAGCTGTGGCCAAGAGGGCCGGGGACCCTTGTTGTGGACACAGCTGAGGGCCCCAGATGTGTAGCATGTGTGTAATTGGGGCCGAGGGGAGTTCCTTGGATTCTAGAAGGGAATGAAGACCCTTGAGAATAAGGAGGGAAGGAAGGAGGTCTTCACCCACCTACAGGAAGGGGTTGGAGAGGTTTACAGGGGCTTGGAGGTAAAACCACTGGGGAAGAGTCTGCAGGACCATCTGGACCCTCCTTGCATTTTGTTGCCATTCACCAAGCTTTGCCTTTGGCTCCCGTGACTCTATCCATCTTTCTGGAGCTGGGGCTACCTCAGCCTGGCCTGCCTTACCGGTCTTGCCATCAGCCTGTAAAGCAACCCTCACCCTCCTTTGTGATTCTAGCTGGTGAGACTGTGACTCTGCCCTGGGATATTGGCAGAGGGGCTGGTAGGAACGCAGTGGTGGGAAGAGCAATGTTATACTTCTTTGGCGTATTTCAGTATTTTTTTATAGTAATTCCTACAAGGAGGCAGAGGCTTTCCCTAAGAGATCAGAGGAATTCCGGATGGCTTCTTCCTGCCACAAGTCCCAAACTGAGATAGTATATGAAGAGCAGGGCCTCCTTCTGTTCTTTCAAGATGGAGAGACTGGACAGACCTGGGTTAACTTTGAGCTTGAGCTCTGAGATTGGGCTGTTCACACCTAGCAGCAAGGGCTGTCGTGTGCATCAAATGACATGTCCAGAAGGGTTTAGAAAAGCCCTAGAGCACCGCAGATGGAAGGGACCACGGTGTCAATCCTAAGCCCCTCATCCCTCCCCCATCGACTGCTGTGACCCAGCTTCTCGAGGCCCCTGTCATGGCTTGCCCGACTATCCTCTGTTCCTCTCCTTTCCCACCCACCCACCCACATGCAATTGTCCTCTAAATTTGGCTTCAGCCAGGGGCCATGGCTGTCTGTGGCTGCGAATCTCTTCTGCTGTTTCCATGTGAAATTCTCTCTCCATTAAGTCAAAGCATGTCAGAAGTCACAGCGCTGTGGGGGACAGCTCTTCCTCCTCCCTCTGTGCTCTTTCCTTTCTTCCTCACTCCTACTGCACCCCACCCCCATTGCTCTCTGGACCTACAGGGGACCTGTTACAGACCTGGAGGCCAAGGGCCACAGGTTGCTTGGGAGCCAGGCCCTGCTTCCGGCACCATCTGTCACCTGCTTCATGTCCCTGACCTCAGTGCAACACAGAGCTGCCTGGACTCGGGTCCCCAGGCCTGGGATTATTTTGAAAGCCCTGTTCTCTTGAAAACGTAGTTCAAAATCTGTAAGGTCAGAATCAGTGGTTCTAAGCTACATTTTAGAATCCCCTGGGGAAACTTTAAAAAAATCTCGGTGCTGGCCAGCTCTCAGATCACATGAAACTCTCAGGGGACTGGACTCAGGCCCAGTACTTTTTTTGTTAATACCTTACCCCCAGCCCCAGGTGACTCTGATGAGCAGCCAAGGTTGAGGGCTGCTGCAAAGAGAGTATGAAGGCACCATCACTGGTGATCCTGTGCGAGGTCCAGGCTGTCTTCCCAACCCTAGAGGTTTAGGAGGAAGACAGGCCCAGCTCTGAAGAAGAGCACCATACTAGCTTCTGGCCAAGGCCTGAGGGGAGAGGATGGCACAGGCCCTGGTCAGTCTGGGTGAAGCTAGTATCGGGGTGTCATTGGGTAGAGCTTGTTCTGGGTAGAAAGGACCACAGGAGCCTTGAACCCTGGCACCTCTTACCAGCCTGACTCTGGGCACGTCTCCTCACGGACCTTTGTTTTTGGCCAAGGGCAGGGTTGCAGGCATGCAGAGCCTGTGGGGCCCAAAGGGTGGGTTTGGGGTTCTAATTCAGGATCACAAGGGCTGGGTGGGCTTGTGGGGACCAGTGCCAGAGCCACAAAGCCTGGTCTGGCTTCTCTGCAGCCTCCCCATAGAAGAGATAATCCTGGATGGCAGGAGGAGCCAAGTCTATATCCGTGGAAGCTAGCTAGGAAGTTGGGGATGATGAATTAGCAAGGGAGGGGTGAGAGATGGGACACGGAAGTTGGGAAGGAAGTGTAGCCAGAGGTAGGGGAAGCCCAGGGGGAGAACTTGTTAACCACACCCTTGGCCAGATCAGTGCTTAGGAAAATGTGTTACCCTCCTGGAGAGTGGTAAGGGCTCAGAGAGGCCCAGCCAGCAGCTGAGGAGGTAGCAGTGTGGCTGCTTTTTGTGGGAATGTGGCTTACTGCCTGAGAACTGTAGACAGGACAGTGGGCCCAGGCCCACCGACGCTGCACCTCTGGTCACAGGAGTGGGCTAAGCAGGGACAGAAGGCGGGGATTGACAAGGTGTTCCGTTCAGTTCACCCAGGTGGAACTGAGAGTCCTAGAAGGGGGGCAGTGTGGGACGGCAAGGCAGTGCGCTGAGAGATGTTTGGGTCACAGTTGGAGCTCAGGGCTTGTTGAGGGCTGGCCATGGCTCCCTCATCCTTTTTCAGAAGTCCCGGAGCTCAGAGGTCCTGCCTGGCAACAGAGGGCCATTAAAGAGAAAGGAAGTTGCTGGAGAATCCCGTGTTCAACAGGGACAGAGAGGACACTTGGAAGCATGCCAGGCAGGGTCATGACTCTTGAGGCTTCAAATCCCCACCGTCTCCCGGGCTGGGCATGGGCTCTGGGTTGCAGAGTACCCCTGAGCCCACATGCCCAACCTCAGGGAGCTTTCACCAAACTGTCTGCCTTAGTTTCCTGTGCCTTTCCCCATAGACTTTGTTGCCTCAAAAAACACAGACTTACTGTCTTATGGTTCTAGAGGTGAGAAGTCTCCAATCGGTCTCATTGGGCTCAAGTCAGGATATTGGCAGGGTTGGTTCCAGAAGGAGCCTCCTCTGAGAGGCTCTGGGGGGAAAATGGTCTCCTTGTCTTTTTCAGTTTCTAGAGACCACCCACCTTCCTTTGCTCATGGCTTCTTCCTCAAATCACTCTACACTCCTGTTCCCAGCACAACCACTCCTGGCTCCAACCATCCTGCTTTCCTCTCGTGAGGATCCCTGTGATTGTATTG